TTTAGAGAGAAAATTACATTTCAATAGAAGGTATAGTACGTGCTTATATGAATATTAGATTCTAATTCTGTTAATCACCTTTGAGGTTTTGTTTTTCTACCTGTAAACTGAACTGGATCCTAAATTCTTCTAGTTTCCTCAAATATTTGGCTACAACTCTCCAAACTAACATTTTCAGTTTTTCTCTCATTTTTGACTTGAAACCATCAAAAACTAAAGCTGTCCTTTTCCCAAAGCCCTGCAAACTAAAACTGAACGACTTGATATAAACTTAAGACAGATCACCACAATGCCCACATTTAGACAATCTTTGTGCCTGTTGCTTTTGGGGGTTTATATGGGCGTGGTTAGTTAGGTTTGTTTATTTATTTATTTACTTACTTACTTAACGGAGGTACTGGGGATTGAACTCAGGACTTGTGCGCCCTAAGCATGCACTCCACACTGAGCTATACCCTCCTCCCCATGCCTATTGCTTTGCAAGCCACTCAGAAAGCTTGCCTGAACACCAGATGATATTATCAGAGACATTTCAAACTGCAAAAGATGCTTTGAACCTAACATCTAGAAATCTCAACTGGCAACTCTCAGGATTCAGACACTGGATTTATAATTTGCTCCAAGCATTAACCTCTATTTTTCTTTTGTCTCCATAGAAATGCCTCTTACCAAATATATGATTGCTTATCCCTCTGTGCCTAACTTTGAGTGCCCACCTGCATCTCTGCCTCCTGAAATAAGGAATTGAACTGACCTACTGTCAGGACTGAGAGACTGGTTCAATGAGGTATAAAGCAATCTATTAGCTCAACTTCTGGACTGTGAAATTTCTGGAAGAAGTTTCAAAGGCAATACTGTAGGGGACCAAAATTTGCCACCCCAAAATATCTCTGGCATGCCGATAGTTCAAGCTGAAAACAATCAAGGCCCAAAAGACTCAGGAGGAAATTTTGCTCCCCCCCCAAAAAAAACTGCCTAAAAAGAGTTTAGAGGGCCTGTTCCCAGAGTAGTGCTATCACCAGAGATATCCGCAAAGAATAGGAGCTAGGTGGTGGGGGAAACTCTTAAGAGATTAAAGTCCCATTGTCTCCGCATCGCTTAGCAAACATTTGTGTTTCGTTTTTGTGTCATTTACCTTCCTCCCCTTTGAGGTCCCAAACCTTTACCCCAACATCCTCTCTTGTCTTTAGCTGAAGATATATTTAAGGTGAGGGTTTTGGCCTTTTTGTTGAGTTCCTCAGTTTTCCTGAATCTCTCCTAAATATGCATGTTACTAAACTTCTGTTTGATTTTCTCTTTTAATCTGTCTCATGTCAATTTAATTCTTAGACCAGCCAGAGGGACCTAGAAAGGTAGAGGAAAACTTCCTCCTTCCCAACAATATATGCAAGACGGATGAGATGCCCACAGTGCTCTCTGGGGACTAGGCAAGGGCAGGAAGGCAGCACTGCCCAGGTATCTGAGGCGGTATGTTTAGTGCACGAGGATGAGAAGCTTGGGGCTTGAGAGTAGGAAACCTCAAAGGAAAATGAACTGAGAGTAAGGGATTCGGAAGCTAGGAAGAGCTGCAGAACCCTCTGATGTCAAGGGATTAATTTGCAAGAGATTTGCAAAACAACACTCACAAGTATCCATCACAGCATCCTGCATCATGTATCTGGAAACCTTCTGAAGAGGAACTGCATAGCAACTCAGGGTTAAAAGTAATACCTACAGTGAAGTTCTTAACCTTCCAAATCACTCAAGGAAGAAGGAGAAATATGAAGCCCTGGAAAACTAACCTCTTAGGAATCATAGTGGAGAGATAGAAAACAAGATAAGAAACATTTCTTTTGCTTGTAAAATGCATGCAGGATTCTTCTTTCTCCCTAGGGCAAGAAAAGGAGAAGGAGCTTTGGTACAAGGAATTCGGGAAGAGGGAGACTTGAATAAGAAGAACGAATCCTATTTCTTTTTAAAATAACTTCATTTATTTTTGCGGGGAGAGGTAGTTAGGCTTACTTATTTTATTTCTAGAGGAGGTACTGGGGAGTGAACCCAGGATCTTGTGTGTGCTAAGCATGCTCTCTACCATTTGAGCTATACTCTCCCCTACAAAAAGCCCTATTTCAGATGCCGGATGTGACCCCTGCCCCCAAAAGAGAGGAAGGAGGTCAGGAGCTGCCTGAGTGAAAGGTGGCCCGGTCCCCAAGAGACAGGAGGACAAACAGATCCTAAAGGAAAACCCATAGTTAGGAAGCAGGATGTATAAACGCGGGACCCCAGGACACCCTGGTGCTCCTTTGGGTCACTGGGACCGCTTTATTCATAATTAGAAACTCGGGTAATAGCCACAAGATGGCAAAAGGATAAAAGCGCAGGCTGCGGAAATAATTTGTCAAGATGTACGTCTGTATACCCAGATGTGGGTACTGATAGGTGCATTTTATTTAGAATGTTTTCAGGACACCTACCTACCCACTGTTACCAGGGCTGCTGGGCAGGGGAGGGGGTAAAGATAAGAGGAGGCTTCCACGGTCAACTCTCATCATACATTACTGGACCCTTTTACTTAGAGAATAGAGTCATTTCCTTATGAAATATTAAAAAGAAGGAAAGAAAAGAGAAAAAACCAAGCAAATCACAAAAGGAAAGGATGAAGACCAAGTTTTAATCCCTCCCATTCCCCTGCTTCCTAACTCCCTCCTCCCACTAATATGCTTGCGCCGGAGAAGGGAGAAAGGCTTTTCATTTAATTAAAATATAAAAGATTTTCTTTTTTTTTTTAACTACCCGGTGGCTAGGGATATTCTGCTGACTCAGCAGTGAATAATCAGCTTTGACCTAAATAATAGAATAACTCCAAGTGGCAGCTGCAGTTGCATAAGCATGAGCCAAATCTGCAGTTCCTTCTCTCTCCCTCTCCTCCCCTCAACGCCCCCTCCAGGCTCGGAGCCGGCAAGCCAGTTACAGCAGGTTCTTTCTGCTTTCCATCCGCATCTGGCCGGTCCCACCATCCTTTCTCATCCGTTGTTTTCCAAACCTCCAGAGGGTCTTTGTGCAAGCCTTGGAGGGTTTGGGGAATGCAAAGGAAGCCATAGGGTGCAGCCTCCCAGGGAACTCTACCCTGTGACCTGGTTTCTCTCCTAAGGGATGGACTCAACAGCCTCAGAGTTTTTGATTTCTAGTTGGAGGGTAAGGGTGGCCTCTGGTCTGAGACACTTTAGCAGCATCAGCAGGAAAAAGGAAGCCGGCTCTGTGCACGAGACTCTGAAATAGCAGTGGCCAGCACTCTGTGGTCCCTCTTCCCACCCCCATTAACCTGTCTGATGGCAGAAACAGCAATTCTTCCCGCATTCCCACACCCCCTTCCCCTCCTCTCATCTCCCGCAGCTCAAGATCCAGTGAGCAAAAAGGACCAAGTAACTACCCTCGGTGACCACCCTCAGTGACTATATGACAGGACCACAAGGTGCCCGACACTGTGCTAAGAACATTCTTATCTCATGCAATCCTTGCACAGGCAGGATTTCACCCCTATCTGACAGGAGGTGGGCAGGGGACCTGGCCAAGCACTGGCTGCAGTGAGAAAGTGGTTCAGAGGGAGATGCAGATTCAGGCAGCCCAGCTCTGGAGCCCACATCCCTCTGCCTCCAAATCCACAGGCAGGTCCAAGCAAGCACAAGGGAGACCTGCCCCCAGCAAATGTCCTGGTCGCACACCATCACTCACCTAGATAGTGGGGTTTGTCCCGGGGCTGACCACCACTGAACACCGCTGGCCAAGGAGACCACCTTTTAGGTCCCACCCCAGCTCTGAGGTGGGCAAGTGACCCTTCTCTCCCCATCCTACCAGAAGGACAGGAGGAAAGTGTCAAGACCTGGGAAAGAGAGTGACCAGGATTGGTCACTGCCCTCAGCTCAGATCGGTGGATGTGTGTTGGAAGCTGTGGGAAGGCAGGGACTAAGCTGACTCTAGAAGTGGAGCCTCGAAAAAAGTCCAAATATTCATTTTAGAAATTAGTTTTTGGTTAAAAGATATAAAATACCCTAACCCACTGAGATCCCTGATTATCAGACCTTGTGTTGAGACTTCCTAGAAATATGGGTTGCCAAACCTCTCTGTAAAGCCTCTCTAACTTATTCCAGGTCACAGAGACCTGTTCCCCTTCTTGAAATTTTTTTTTACCGCAGTTGAATCCTAACTACAGAATCTGGCTAATACGGCTTTTCTGCCCAATTAGACAGAAAGTTTAGCAGGGGCGAGGACCATGGACGTTGCATTTGTTTTCTCCCAACTCACACCTTTACACTCTCCTCCCAAGGAGTTTTAAGATGTGAGCTGGCAGGTCAAGGTATGGGTGGAGACGCCAGAAAAGTCTTCCTACGAGCAGCAGGGAGCCTCCAGCATGGTGTGCAGTGTGCGTGTCTTGCTGGAAAGAGAAGGAGTCAGGAGCCCTGGGCTCCACTCAGGGCCCACCCCCTTGGTTAATTCACTTGCCTGGCTCCAGTTCCTCCTCTGCTCTAGGAAATTGTAAGCCTGGCCCAGCTTCCCTTATGGATTTGTTATGAGGCTCAGATCACATAATACAGGTGTCAGTGTTTTATATAAAGTCAAGCACTCTGCCAGTGACAATTACTGTGCCTCTGAGAAGCTACTTAAGTTTCTTCATTTTATTTTTCAATTTTTGTTTGTTTGGGGAGAGGTAATTAGGTTTATTTATTTGTAATTTATTTATGTATTTTTAAATGGAGTCCTGGAGATTGAACCCAGGACCCCGTACATGCTAAGGTCATACTCCACCACTGAGCTATACCCTCCCCACTAAATTTCTTTTTTTTAACACCAGATAATTATATTTAGAATCTATTCATCTACAGCATGAATGTCGGAAATTGAAAAGGAATGGGGGGCAAAAAAGGAGGAAAGGAAAGAGGGAAAGGAAGGAGACCCAGAGATGTGTAGACCACGGGGGAGGCTAAAAGATGCCGTCCTGAGAGTGAGGCCCAGATGGCACTTACATAAGCAGATGGCAGCCAGGAGGCGCAGGCCAGACTCCGGGGGGAAACAGGTGGGGAAGAGCGGCTGAAGCACATAGTTGGAGAAGGTGAGGGCGATGACGGCCTGGTTGGTGGGGTAGATCACCAGCACAGCTATCCACAGCCTCAGGAACCTGGAGGGGGAACAGGGCAGGACTTGAGCCAAGACAGCAACGGAGACCCCCATGCCCACCATCAGGCTTGGCAGGGATTCAGAAGTCATCCAGGGAAGCCCAGGCAAGTCACTGGGCAACGTTAGGAGAGGCAGGTGGGCTGACGGGGGTGGGGGGGGCATTTCCTTTTTGTTTTCAGGGATGCTGAGGAGCCCAGCCCCCACCACACCCAGCCCTCTGCTCGTAAATTGGTTTAACGATGTAAGAGCTAAGTTTCAACTAGTACTGATGCACATCTCGGCGTTCTTTCTCTCTCCCCGCTTCTTTCCCCCAGCATCCAGTGGTGGAACATAAAATTTGCAACCCCACAATCTCCTCAGTCAGGGTACGCTAAGGGAGTGGCCGCTTAAGTGTCAAGGGGAGGTTTAAGGGGGACATGTTATCCACACCTGTGGGCCCCTTGGTGAGGGATGAGCTGTTTGGTATCAGGGCTGTGGAAGCTGAGGAAATTCAAGATCAGGGCCCGGCTCTAGAGGGAGGCCAATATCCTTGATAATGTGAGAAGTGCCCCTATATCTTAGTGGTCACTCTCATTTGTCAGGATAAAGGGCTTTGTTTTTGTGTTGCGCATTCCCTGGGAGTTTCTGATTAGAGTTGTTGTTTAGTTCTACTTGTTCTCACAGAAGTTTACCCACTGAGCTCAACAGAGGTTAAAACTACAACCTGGTTCCTCTGCCACTCTCAGGAGCATCAGCGGGACGCAAGGCTACATGGGCAACCTTGGCATGGAGGCCAGAGAGGAACCCCGAGCCCTCGGGCTCCTCAGCACACTGGAAACCCCTGGCCTCGGCTTCCTAGACCGCTCGGTCCTCTGCACATCCTCTTACCCAGCCAGTCCTCCGAAGATGTCCTTGACGTAGGAGTAGTCACCTCCAGATTTGGGGATGGTGACCCCGAGCTCAGCATAGCACAGGGCTCCCACAGCTGTGATGAGCCCCGTCACAATCCAGACGATGAGGGCAAGGCCCACGGAGCCGGCATTCTCCAGCACGCCCTTTGGCGAGACAAAGATTCCAGAGCCGATGATGTTGCCTGTGCGAGACACCAAGGGTGATGGGGGAGACGGTGGCGGTGTCTGCATGATGGCGGAGCCAGCACATGCAGGGGCACTTTCACCTTTGATATGACGCTAAAATGCCTTTGGGATGCATAACCCCCTTCAGGCAGGTATGTCTAGCAATAATTCTCCTTAGAAGTAGGAGACAGAGGAGCAGACAGCAGACACGGAGGGACCAGGGACTTGGTGGGGTACCTCATATGCATCATTTAATCCTCAGGACAAGCCTACGTTTCTCCCATTTCACAGAGGAGAAAACTGATTCTCAGAGGTACCAAGTTTATTGCCCAAGTCCACACAGTAAGAAGTAAGTGGTGGAGTAAGCATTGAACCTCAGGATACGCTGACGGGGCTGCATGTAGTCCACCCAAGGTGACAAAGGTCCTACTTAAGACTGGCTGGAAATGGAAATGCTGGAGAAATAGGCTGTTCTGAGACTGACTGCCCGTTAGAAAGCTTTAAAAATGAGCTGAAGGGCTATACCTTTTGGATAGATTGTGGTCACACCCTGTGTCTATGGGTTTTCCCGACCCATGCACTCCTGGAGGCTGGCCTCTGCCCCAGACACAGCATCCCCACCCTTAGTGAGGAGCATGAAATAACCCTATAAAAGCAGTCTTGGTAGTCTGGAAGCAGTTTGTCGGAATGCAATACGTGCAAAGACTCAGCATTGTATTTTTCCAAAGGTCGTTCCCCTCCAATGTTTCATGTGACCCTCACAAAAACCTCATGGAATCAGGAGGTGGAGGACGCACAGATGTTTCTATTTTACAAACCAAGAGACTAAGACACAGAGGGGTTAAGTGGCTTTCTCCGAATTCCGCAGTTACTGATGGGTAAAATTGGATCTAGAAGTCGGTCTCCTGATTGTATAATCCAACGGCTCTTTCCACTAATCTACTTCTGTTCTGTATGCAAGGGGCTGGTTTTCTCCTGAGAGGTGAGGCTGGCGCCAGGGACTGAATGGTTGGCTACTGGGATGTGTGTGTTGCGCAGGGGAGGAGTAGGAGTGTGGAGACAGCTCCTTCCTAAGCTTTCCTTTGTCTACTTCTTATGACTCCAGGGGTCAGGATCTGCTGGGCAGGTTCTTTGAAAGCTCCCTCTTCATGCCCCACCCAGAGGCACCAAGGAGGCCTGAGGGAAGAACCAGAGACTAAATGGATACAGGTCAAAATTGCAGACCCGGAGTATTCGGGACCAGTTGGATTTGACAGTGTTCTGAAGACATCTCAAATTCCCAGCATCTCTCTTTAGTGGTTCGGAATCAGTTCTGGGCTGAACGAGATGCAGAATACAGGATTTTATGCTCAAATTGCAAAAATTGACTTTCAGGGGCTAGGGGGTAGATCTCAGGGGTAGATTCAGGGCTAGAGCATGTGCTTGGTGTGCACAAGATCCTGGGTTCAATCCCCAGTGCCTGCATTAAGGAAAAAAATGAATAAATAAAAAACGGACTTTCAGGTCTCAATTATAACTCAACTTCAATCCAGTCCTGAAACTTTCACTTCTAAACCAAAAGTCATTTTTAAATCCCAAGCTGTGAATCCAGCTATTTCAGTCAAAGGGAAAGAGAAGAAAATACCCACATTCTAAAAGCAGTAATAGTCTATTCTTTTGGCATGTAGACTATGCTGCCCCTTTCCAGACTGAAAAATTGCTGCATGAAATGCGTAAGGAGAAAAGGAGGGGCCAGAAAGGACATCAGAGCAGCAACAAGGGTGAGACTGAAATGCAGAATCAGAGTGCCCAGGGCCCCAGCTAGATTCAGATGGAAAGGAGGCATATTTCTGTCTTAAACAGGTCCTCTTTCTCCTGGTGTTAACAGTCTACCCCAACAGAACAAGGCTTCTTCACAAGAAGTGAATTTAAAAGGGGAAACAATCCCTTGTGTTCAAATCTGTGAATGAAGCATTAGGCAAAGAGAGATAGGAGAATGAGATTCTGAGTGCCACCGGTTCGTAAAGCCTTTTCCTTTTTTGCACTTTTACTTAAAGTCCTAGGCTAGGAATAAGAGAACACTTTCAGCCCTCCCCCCTCTCTCCTTAACCCATCCTCATGTGTGCTTTGCATGCAAGCTGGGTCAGCAGAGATGAAAGGGCCTCCTGGTAGCATCCCAGGACTCAGGACGTGCTTACCTTTTCACCTGACCCTTCACCTGCCGCATTAAACGTGAGATGGGGTTGCTGATTGGGCTGAAAAGTAACAGCAAATTCCTTGCCTGGCAGGAATTTATCAGAAGAGTCATCTGTAGGGCATTTTAAAGTCAGCCAAGAAGACAGCAATACAACTAGGTCATAAAACTATCTCGAGGGATTAGACAAGCAATCAATACAGAAGAACGACAAGGTTTGACTTTGGTCTTTAAGGTGCCGACAGGGGTTGGGGTGGGGTGGGGTGGGAGGGATAGCCAGACATTTCTCAGAAACAGGAATGGCTGTTGACACAGGGAAAATGAGGGTGGATGTTACTGAAAATCTCAGATTCGATCTTCTCAGGAATGAAAGCGTCAAAGTTCCACTAAGGGTTCTTGGGAAACGCCGCAGTGGAGAGGAGCGAGCACTTCAGTTATTTCCAGCGTATGTGCCCCTCCCCTCGTCCCAGGTGGAGGGTGGGAGGTGCGACACCGACCCTTTCCAGGTTCTGACCATTTCCAGTCTCCACGGGTTCTGGGATAACGTGTCCTTCCGTGGAGCTGCTGTAGTAGATGGTGAGGGTTGGCATTAGGACAAGAGTTCTCATTTTATAAAAAGATCGTGGTTTCCAGGGGTTTGGGGAGAGGGAGGGAGGGAGGGAGGAATGAATAGATGGAGCACACGGGATTTTTAGGGCAATGAAATTATTCTGTATGATACTATAGTTGTGGCTAAATGTCATCATGCATTTGTCAAAACCCATAGAATGTACAACATCAAGAGTAAACCCTAATGTGAACTATGGACTTTGGTTTATAATAATGTGCCCATGTTGGTTCATCGGTTGTACCAAATATGCCACACTGATGAGGGATGTTGAGAGTAGGGGAGTATATATGTGTGGGTGGGGAGGGCTTTTGTGGGAACTCTGTATTTTCTGCTCAATTCTGCTGTAAACCTGAATCTGCTCTGAAAAAATAAAGTCTATCAAAAAAACAAAAAAAGCGTTCTCATTTTATAAAACTTGGGTTCTCCCCATCAACAATCTTGATTTTGACCAAATTAAAATGATAAAGATAAAAACTTTAAAAACAATAATAAAATTGAATTATGTTAACCAAAACTGAGCACTAGGGAATAGGAAGAAAAGAGCCTCTCTCTGATTCTAGGAAGTCACTACCTAGAAAACCAGAATCAGATGTCTCCCCACGCTTAGTGGCCTCTGGAACTTCTGCAGGGGATGGAATATCACTCAGAGCACAGCTATGTACTGGGGCCGAGAGCACATTCACGCTACATTTACTTAAAAGTAATGACTTGGAGAGGGTGTGGAGAAAAGGGAACTTCCTACACTGTTGGTTGTAATGTAATTTGGTGCAGCCACTTTGGAAAACAGTATGAAGATTCCTTAAAAAATTAAAAATAGAGTTATATGATCCAGCAATCCCACTCCTGGGCATGTGTCTGAAGAAAACTCTAATTCGAAAGACCTATGCACCCCAATGTTCACAGCAGCACTATTTACAATAGCCAAGACACGGAAACAACCTAAAAATGTCCATCAACAGACGATTGAATAAAGAAGATGTGGTATATTTATACAATGGAATACTACTCAGCCATTAAAAAAGAATAAAATAGTGCCATTTGTAGCAACAGGGATGGACCTGGAGATCGTCATTCTAAGTGAAGTAAGTCAGACAAAGACAAATGATATCACTTATATGTGGAATCTAAAAAATGGATACAAATGAACTTATTTACAAAACAGAAAGAGACTCACATACACAGAAAACAAACTTATGGTTACCAAAGGGGAAAGTGGAGAGAGGGATAAATTAGTTTGGGATTAGTAGATACAAACTACTATATATAAAAATACATAAACAAGAGATCCTAATGTATGGCACAGGGAACTACATTCAACATTCTGTAATAAGCTACAATGAAAAAGAATATATATATGTGTATAACTGAATCACATACCAGAAACTAACACAACATTGTAAATCAACTAAATGTCAATAAAAAAATAATTTTAAAAAAGTAATGCCTACGATATACAATCTTTAGTGTGACTGAGCAATATTTATCTCCCCCACTAGACTGTAAGCTCCACAAAACCAGAAACTGGATCACTCACCTGTGAACTGTCACATAGTAGACACTCCACATATGTTTACTGAATAAATAATATCTGATATCAATCTAGAATTTATCTCCACAGGGCAATTTAAGATACCTGTCTATCTGGAACCCCCAAATCCTGTGATGTAAGTTAAGAGTGTCTTACAGGCAAATGAGTAAAGCAACCCATTTAGTTTTCATTGCTGAAGCGAGTAGACTGGCTATTATTGCCTCCAACTTATAGGGAAAGAAAGTAGGACAACTATTATTCTCATTTTTCCAAACAGGGAAAATGAGGGAGGTATTATTATCCCTATTTTTTGGGTGAAAAAACTGAGACACAGAAGAGGTAGTTGTTTGCCTAAACCACGGGGCAAATTTTTAGTAACTGGATTAGAACCTAAATTTTCTGTCACAGCCTCAAGCTTTACCCTGAAAATTGTCAAGTTTTACATGTTCCACCCTATAGACAATGAGAATGGTTCACAGAAGACTCATTAAAGAACTGAGGGGGGAGGGTATAGCTCAGTGGTAGAGTGCGTGCTTAGCAGGCATGAGGTCCTGGGTTCAATCCCCAGTACCTCAAAAAAAAAAAGAAAGAAAGAAAAGAACTGAAACACAGACCTGATTCTTTCCTTCTATTGCAATACCAACATCAATGATGATTTACAAAGTGTTCGCATTCATCACCTTACTTGATTTTCATAACTACTTTC